GATAAGAAAACTGTTGCCACTGCCACCAAACACTAAATGCCGGGACTTAGACTTCTCTGCAACAACTGCTGGTGGCACTGAAAACTCTGCTGCATCAAGAAAGGGACCTCTCTCCTCGCTCTTCCCGCCCCCCACCCCCGCCCCCCAAGCCTGGCAAATTCAAAGTCTCACATATGTATTGGAGCAGGCTCAGAGATGTATTCTTTGATGTTGGGGGCAGAACTAGTAGCAGGAAATTTCCCCAGATGCCTGTGGCCAATGTCACAGTAAAAAAGTGGAAGGATCACAAATGTTCCGTATGTGGATATGGTAGCATGAATTTTGGCACAGCCGCTGGATGAAATATTGGAGTGGGTTCAAACTGCAGAGACAAGGGTTGCCAACCACCTGTGTAAATGCTTGTGAGTCGTGCTAAATGAAGAGGAAGGCTTGCTGCTATAGAAAAACTAGAGGCCTGGTGCACGAAATTCGTGCAAGGGGCTGGGGGTGGGGGTCCCCTCAGCCCAGCCTGCACCCTGTACAATCTGGGACCCCTCGGGATGTCCGACTGCCAGTTTAGGCCTGATCCCAATGTAGATTCACCAAATCTATGTTGGCAATGATCCCAGGGATCAGACCTAAATTGGTAGTCGGACATCCCTCTCACAATCCAGGACCGCTGGCTCCTAACTGCTCACCTGCCTGCCTGCCTGATTGCCCCTAACTGCCCCCCTGCTAGCCTGATCACCCCTAACCACCTCTGCCTGCTGGCCTGGTTGCCCCTAACTGCCCCCCTCTGCCGGCCTGGTTGCCCCTAACTACCCCCAAACAGCCTGGTCACCCCTTATTGCCCCCCCTGCCGGCCTGGTCACCCCCAACTGCCCCCCACCACCAGCCTGGTCGCCCCCAACTGCCCTCCTCTGCCGGCCTGGTCGCCCCTAACTGTCCCCCCCTGTCGGCCTGGTCACCCCACACAGCCTGCTGTTGAGTCGTTTGGTCGTCCCTCACTAACCCCCCTGCTGGCCTGGTTGCCCCATGCAGCCTGCTGTTCGGTTGTCCGGTTGTTTCAGTCCTGACGGCCCCTGGCTTTTTATATATTAGGATAGCATGCATATAAGGTGGGGTGAGACAAAGGAAGTCGAAAACAATTATGTCTTTAGGAGACTGAATTTGCTTAAGGAGAGAGATTGTTCTCTCTTTCAAACATTTTATGTGATTATAGTTAAAAAAGAAAAGTTTTTTATGTAGAATCTTGAACTCTTTAAAAAGATGCTCTTGAAATCACATGGCCTCTGCCCCGCCCCCACCCCCAAGAGTCCATTCATTCTGCTATGTGGGAGACACTTTGTGTTCTTGCTAATAACCATTTTCCATCTTCCTGTAGGCAGGGCTCTGATTTTGTTCAGAATGGCCCTTCTCCTGTTCCAGGGATAAACCCTGACAGGTCTGGTCCACTCTCATGGTCCTATTCTGGCCAGGCGGTTTGTTTAGGGTTGGTTGCTACTCCTATGGGGCCAGTGATTAGTAAGAGGTCTGCTTATGGGGATTCCTCATTCTTAAGAAGGAAACACCGAAGAAATGGACCTTCTTCTGATTCTGAGTGGTCCTTGGTCTGGATGGGAAGCCTAGAACTCCTGTGCCCATTTTGTTCCCAGGCAATAATGCAGCCAAAATCCAGAAGAGAGCAAAGTAAAGAGGATCTTAGAAGGCTGGACTCCTTGTGGTATGTAATGACAATGTTCTTATCGTTTAACCCAGACTGTGTCAGAGTTGTCTGTTATTTGCAGCCAAATCCTAACAGATTATAGTGCTTGTCCCCTGAGACATACTTCTTGGTTTCACTCGTGTGAGACAGTGACTTGAGTAGGCCAGGCCTGGGCTTCCTTTATCTCCATATCCTCTGTGCCTGGCCACTGCAGTCCTCTGTGAATGTTTGCTTTGAATTAATGAGCCTTCCAAACTGAAGGGTGCCTCTATGTGGTGCCCCAGACTTAACACATCTAAAACAGGTTCTCAGTTCTCTCCCATACTCTCCTCCCACATCTAATAAGCAGCATCACCACTCACCCTTCCCCTCACTCCACACCTAACCCAGTACCCAGTCCTGCTGGTTTTTGCTCCAAAATATATCCTGAATGTGACCACGTCTTCCTAGCTCAACTGTGGACACTGTGGTTCAATATGGGATCATCTCTCATCTAGGTCACCTTATAGGTTCTCCAATGGGCCTCTCAGCTTCTACTCTTTAAAAATAATAATAATTTTTATTGGTTTTAGAGAGGAAGGGAGAGGGAGAGTTAGAAACATCAACGATGAGAGGGAATCATTGATTGGCTGCCTCCCACATGCCCCCCAATGGGGATCCAGCCCACAACCTAGGCATGTACCCTGATGGGGAATTGAACCGTGACTTCCTGGTTCATAGGTGTCCACTGAGCCACGCTGGTCGGGCATCGGCTTCTACTCTTATTCTCAATACCTGTCAAATCCATCCTCCACTCAGCAGCCACATCAGTCTTTAAAATATGGGTGAAAAATTAATCCCCCTTCAATGACCCCTTATGACACTTAGTATAAAAACCAAACTCTTACTTGAAATGGATGAACTGTAGGCAGGTAAATGTTATCACAAGAAAGCTGTTATTAAAGAACCCAAACTCCTGTGGTCTACAGACCTGCATGATCTGGCCCCTGCCTACCTCTTTGACCCATCTAGTATGAGTTTCCTCTCCCTCCCTCCCAGCCACAATGAGCCAAACCGGCAAGGGCTTTGATGTTTTTCCTGTAGCTTTCCCCATGGCTTGTTCTTTCTCCTCATTCAGGTCTCACCTCTGTATCTAAAGTAATGCCAGGTCATCCTGTTATCAATTGTCCCCTTGATTTTCGTCATTGCACCTAAATATTCAAAATTATAAAGTTTGCTTGGTTGTTGTTTTTTCTGTCTCACCAGCTCATGAAATAAGAACTTATTTTTTACTTTTAAGTACAGTGCCTAACAGGTGAAGAAGTATTTGTTGAAGGAATTATGTGTTGAATCGTATCAGTTGAGCATTTGTGTTGGGCTTGTTAAGTTTTCTGATGTTTTCAATAGAAAGCAAATTTTGTATTCACATTCATTTTAAAAATAAAGATGAGTCACCCTAGCTAGTTTGGCTCAGTGGATAGAGCATCAACCTGCAGACTGAAGGGTCCCAGGTTCGATTCCAGTCAAGGGCACATGCCCAGGTTGTGGGCTTGATCCCCAGTAGGGGACATGCAGGAGGCAGCCGATCAATGATTCTCTCTCATCATTGATGTTTCTATTTCTCCCTTCCTCTCTGAAATCAATAAAAATATATTTAAAAAAATAAAATAAAGATGAGTCACTAACTTTTGGAGCGTCTGTTATCTATAAAATGGGGATGGAGTGGCAAGGTTAAACCGTATGATTTCCTAGATTTATTGTAACTCTGACTTCTAAAAAGAGGTTGTAATTGAAATGAGTACTGGGCTGGCCAGCAACTTAATGGAAAATTGAGGACCAGGACCCAGAGCTTTGTCCTCAGAGTCACTAAACAGACTTTTTGGAAGCTCAAGGCCATCCTTCACTCTTCTCCCTACCAGCCAGCCTGGCAGTGCTTCCTCAGAAACCTCTCTGGACATTCTCCTTGGTACAACCCCACTGCACTACCCTGGCCAGGTCAGCATCAGCTCTCCCAGACACTGCAACAGTCTCCTCTCTGCTTCCAGCCCCCAAGCCCCAGGCCCATGCTGGACCTGAATGCCCTTCCAAACACAGAACTTTGATCATACCCATATCACTCAGATGTGACTGGAGACATTCTAATTGAAAACACTTAGTGAATGTCACCCAAAAGCTGCTAAGTAAAAGGCACTTGAGAGGTGGCCCAGGTGGTTTGGCCACACCTGGCTTCCTGGAGGGGATCACACTTTGAAGCCAAAACAGGAGGGAAGAAGATGGACAGCAGTGAGGGAGATGGTGTGTGTCGTTCAGAGGCAGAGCCAAAGTAAAGCCCGAGTTCTTTAGGCTGTCAAACTGCCCTGACAGAACCGAGTATGACTTGGAGGGCCAGGAGGTCTAGGCCAAAGCACCAAGGCTGATTGTGACATCCAGGAAAGAAGACAAAATTCCAGAAATCCCCTTCTCTTGGGGTGAGGGAAGGTCAGGATGACCTCCAGAAGAATCCCACAAGCAACCACTTCTCTTCAGTCAGACCCTGTTTTTTCCTTTAAAGCACCACCTTCTGCCATGCTCAGCCCACCCCAATCTCAGATGGGTCCACGATCCAGTTTACAAATTAGCATACTCTATCCCTCCTGGTTGCAAGTACTGGTTCAGGGTTAGTATTCTGTTTCAACCCCAACTGGCATACTAACCAAGTTCAGTTCTGGCACTAACTGCCCAAAGTTAGCATAGACACAAGTTAAGGGCTCAGTCCTTGACAAGACTGCCCCCACCTCAAATGCCAGCTGCAAGTGGAGTCCCCCAGCCACCTGCACTTATGACCAACTGGCTACAGATGTGGGAGTTCCCCATGCCCCCCACTCCGTTTGATAATTTGCTAGGACAACTCAGAATGCAGGAAAGTGCTGTGGTTCATGCTCACAGTTTCATAATCAAGGATACAAGTCAGGAACAGCCAGATGAAGAGACACATAGGGTGAGGTCTGGGAGGGTCCAAATACAGAGCATCCATCCACTCTCCCCATGGAATCAACATATCATCCTCCTGGAACATCAATGCATTCACCAACCAGGAAGAACTGGTTGGGCTTCACTGTCCAGAGTAGTTATTGGGGCTTCATTATTTAGGCATGATTAATGAAATCATTACCATGTGACTGAACACAATCTCCAGGCCCCCTCCCTGCCCTCCTTGGATGCTGAGCTGGCTCAAAATCCCAACCCTCTTATCACAACGTTGGTCTTGGTGGTGACCAGCCCCCATTCTGAAGATATTTAGGGGCTTGCCATGAGTCACCTAAGGGGCTCATGAATAACAGACACTTCTATCACTCTGGAAATATCAAGTACTTTTAATCCTCTGTGCCAGGAACATGGGACAAAGATCAGACAAATTCTTTATTATACAACAGATGTTTATTGGGTGACCCAAGCTGAGCTGATGAAATTAAACCCGACTGCATTTGTTGGAGCTGTTGGGAAAGCCAGGATCTTTTTCCGCTAGGGTTGTTACTCCAGTAAGCTTGCAGCTGCAGGCAGCCATATCGCTACCTCTGAGGGTACAACCTGCCTGAGAATGAAGATAGTCCCGAAAAGAAGCAGAACTAAGAGAAAGAGACCAAGTTCAAATGGACATTGAGCTTTTGGCTCTAAGCATGCCTGAAGTCATTCTATCTTTGATTTTTCAAAATTGTGAACCAATAAACTCTCCCTCCTTTTATGTTCAATCAACCTTAAATTGGAGTTTCCATTGTAGCTGAAAGCATCCTGAGAAGTACATGCCCTCTTACTGAGGAAGACGTGTTGCTCACTTCCTTATCAATATCTTGGCTTAACCTGGGCCCTGGATCCCATCCTTCCCACCTTCCCCAAAACGCATTCCTTCAATTACCATCCTTTCTACTGGCTCCTTTCTCCTTAGACTTTTGACATAATTAGGTCTTCCTCGGGATATAAACCGGCAAATCTTTTCTTCCCTTTAAAACTACAACCCACCATATCTCTTCCCTTCCCTTTTTGGTCAAACTGTGAGATAGTTCTCCACATCCCTCCTCCCACTTATTCACCTTCCATTTGTTCTTCAGTCCTCTACCATTTGGCTTCTGCTTCCACCATGTCCCTAAAATTATTCTCACCAAGGTCACTGAGCAATGGTAGTCATTATAGAAGACAATAGCAGTATCATGGATCTCTGTTTATCATTTGTTTTTGCCCATCCCCCCCATATACACTCTATACTCCCACACCCCCTGGTCTTTGGTGTGTGGTTTCTAAAAGAACTTCCAGGTGGTTTTTCTTTCTTTTCTGTTTTTGTTTTTCGTTTGAGGAATGTTGGAGGCTTGGCCTTGGAATTGACATCTCCTGGGGCAACCCTTGGTCAACAGCTGAGGGTTGTTGGTATATGTAGGGCCCAGTTCCCTCATTTCCTGACAAATCTGAGGCATAACTTAACATCCAGAGCTCCCCCATGGTAAAGCTGCCTGAGATCACATGCTTGCTTGGTTTTCCTCTCCTGCTTTCCCCGCTCCCTCACTGGTTTCTTCTTGTAGCATGTTTTAAATAAATAACTTGCACACAAATCCTCATCTCAGGGTCTGCTTCTGGGAAGAAGACATCATCTCTGCAATTTTTTTACTCCTCTTTCTTTGTCTCGTTCCCCGAATTAGGCTCTGGCCCTCCTCTTTCTACATATATTACTTGGACAATGTCATTCATATCCATGGTTTCAACTACTATCATGTCTGATCACCACTAAACTGCTTTGTGCAGTTCAGACCATCGATCCATCTCTGCTGAAGAGCTCCACTTGGTTGGCCAGACACCTCCTGGACTAATACAGTAGTCACTAGCCACATGCTCTTTGTGACAGGCTGTTAAACAGACATGAGCAGAGCAAGGGCAATGGGCCAGGTGCAGGTCACCAGGGTGTAAAGCCCCAGGGGCCTAACAATAGACAATCCATTAAAGGGTGGGACCCTGCTCCCCCGATGACCTTTCCTCCTCTAGCATCTCTCGTCATGGGGTTTGGACCCCTAACCTTTCCGCTCCAGAGATAATATCTATGCCTGAGTTATGTTTCAGCTCCAGGCCCAGAGAAACAACAAAACCAGCCAGGCTGATGTCAGGACCAGTTGTGCTGAATAATGACCCCCCTCTCCTGGTGCCGGCCAATCAATCAGTGGAAACCACAACCCTGAAAGGACACACCTGGAAAGCAGCTGACTATTCTATTGAGATCTTCTCCTGGGACCACCCTTAAAGCCCTCAGGAAGAGGACCCAGTGTGCTCTGCTAGCCCTGCCTCCCCCCCCCCCCCCCACTTACCCCTATTAGCTTCCTCACTCCCAAGCTGCAAGGGCCCTCCCTTTACCTTCATGACTTGTTTCCTAAGCCCATTTCTAGTAATTACTTCTTCCACACTTTACTTGACTTACCAAATGTTATCTTGGCTCTGAATTCTTACCTAGCCAGAACCCAAGGACCAAGGTTGCTGAACCTGGGTTTGGTCTAGCCAGCCGTGGGCAAACTACGGCCCGCGGGCCGGATCCGGCCCGTTTGAAATGAATAAAACTAAAAAAAAAAAAAAAAAAAAAGACCATACCCTTTTATGTAATGATGTTTACTTTGAATTTATATTAGTTCACACAAACACTCCATCCATGCTTTTGTTCCGGCCCTCCGGTCCAGTTTAAGAACCCATTGTGGCCCTCGAGTCAAAAAGTTTGCCCACCCCTGGTAGTCACACTAGCCACATGCAGCTGGTGGTTACCACATTGGACAGCGCCAACATAGGACATTTCACTCTGCAGAAAGCTTTATTGACAGCGTGGACACATTTCCAAACTTAACCTCATCACCAGCCCCTTGCTTTCCTTGCATTCCCCCACGATCCCTGTCCTAGACAGTGACGGGCCAGCTACAGAGAAGGTGAGTGTCCGGGTACCAGGGAGGAAGAAGGCGACCACAGAACTAAACTCTTTTCCACTGATATCTTTCTCTGAACCGGGAAGATGGGTGGACAAAGATGGACGGAGCCATTAACAAAGGCTATCTGTGCGCTGATGTCCGGTTAGAGCGCAGGCCGGGGACCAAGGCTGGCCAGGCCACAGTGGATGTCCCCAACTGCGCCAGGCAGCCTCGGCCTTGCACCAACGTGCGTGTGTGAGTTCAGGCTTTTCCCCATCGCCACGCTCCTGGGCCACTTGCCTCTGTGTTCCAGGACGAGCACTGAATCCAGACCGAAAAGCTAAAGTCGGTTCTGGAAACATGGCGCCCCTCAGGGCAGAGGCACGCTCCTACTGGAGGCGCTGAGCTGCGAGGCCGCAGCGTTTGGGGCCGCGGAGAGCCGGGAGCCGGGAGGAGGTGGGCACGGGCTCCCGGCACCGCTCGGCCTCTGACTCCGGTGGGTCGTCCTGAGGAAGCGGAGCCCACTCCGGGGTTTTCAGCCGCTCGAGCAAGCGGTTCCCTTACTGCTCGGGGTAGTCGGGGCGGTCAGAGGAACAGGACTGACAGGTCCCTGCGCTCGGTGTGAACCATCCTCTGCACCCTCGGGATCCCCAGGTTCTGTCTCCGGCCTTGATGGCCTCCTGAGCCCCGGACTGTTCGTCCACCGCCTCCCAAGTCCACCGACACGGCCCAAACGGGCGTTATTCCCGGCTCTCCCCCGCCCCCGCCTTTATTCCCCGGGTCGGAGAGGGAGCCTCGTCCAAACTCTCGCCGTTTCCTCGAGGAGCCAGGGCCGCCGGTCCAGGCTCCGCCTCCTCGCGGGGCCTTACCGAGGTCACCCCCGTCTTCCCGGGACCAGCTCCTCGGGGCGGCATCCGCGCCGCCGCCGGGCCGGGCGCTCTAGGCCGCCGCGCGCCGTCAGAACGCCTTCCCGGCTCGCTGCTGCCGGGCCCGGCGACCACTCTGGCCGTCGGCGGCCTCGCGACGCCACCCCCTCCAGTGGCTTCTCTGAGGCTGACTCCCCACCTCGGCCCCGGACTCCCGCTGGGCACGCAGCCCTCCCCTCGGCCGCTCCGTCCCCGAGGCCGCCGGGAGCGCGGGGCGGGAGCGGCGGAAGTGAGCGTGAAGGTGCCCTTCCCGCCCGCTCCTCTCTATGGTCGCTGCCTCCGGTGACGGGAGCGGGGTCCCGGAGCCTGCGCAGAGCCGGGCGGGGAGGCCGCCGCGGGGTGGGGGGAGGGGCAGGGAGCGGGAGCCGCCGCCGCCGCCGGAGCTAACCGCGGGGACCGAGATGCAGGTGGGACCGGAACCGGAACCCCCCTCTCCCAGTCCTCCTTTCCTCTCCGCGACCCGGCTGGCGCCTCCGAGAAGCCCTGGGTGGGAGCGGGCGTGGGGGCCCCCGAGGCAGGGGGGCGCTCGGCGCGGAGAGTGCAGGAGGCGGGGTGGCCCCCCGGAGACGGCGGCCCCGGGGAATGGGTGGGTAGAGGTGTCCGGGGAGTAGGGTCGGGTCGGCGGGCTGCGGCGGGCCCGGAGGTCCAAGCCAGGAGCGGAGCCTGCACCCTCCGCCGCCCGCCCTTCGGGGACTATCAGACCTGAGCCAAGAGGCAGGTGCACCGGGCGGATGGGTCTGAGTCCTGTTGGACAGAAGAGAAACTGAGTCACCGGCCCAGGAGTCCGCAGGGTCAGCGGTCTCGAGGGCGCTGGGTCCGCCCGCGGCGCGGAGGGTGGTGTGACCTGTGCGCGAAGGTCTCTCTGCCTAGAGCTCGGTTTCTCTTCTGTGTCCGCACCTCTTGGCTCGGGGCCCCTGTGCTCCATGACTCCGGCATCTCCGGGCTTCGCGTTGGTTGGGGTGGTCCCTGTGCTTGGAGCACCTGAGTGTGCAGGGCCGAGGCCGGGGAGGAAGGGGCGGGGGTGCTGACTGTGGGTCTCAATAGGAGTCTGGGGTTTTGGGGAGAATCTTCCCGAGCTACCTTCACCCCAGCTCCTGGTGCCGGTCATTTTTCCAGTATAATAGGGGGGAGGAGCGCTAAATTCCATGTCCAGCTCTGCCGTTTGCCAGTTGTAAGACCTCGGGAAATCCCTTCCTTCTCTAATTTCTCTTTAGAAGATTGGAACCCACAGAAATAGCAATAATGGTGGTCCTTTATTTTGTGCTTACTTTGTGTCAGGCACTGATGTGTTCCACTTAATTCTCCCGATAGATACAAAAACTGAAGCTCAGAGAGGACATATGATTTGTTCAGGATTACACAGCTAATAGGTGTCAGAGGTTGGATTTCATCCCAAGCCCGACTCCATAAGCCATGGCCCTAACCAGCAGGCTAGCCAGCCTTTAGGGCGCACTCCCCAGAGAGAGAAGAGGGAGGTGAAAAGGCCGAGGATCCCCCGCTCCCCGTTACGTTTTATTTAGTTTGTGGCCAGCAAAGACTTGCCCTGACCCGACCTCATAGCCTTTCCTCACCTGGTGCTGCTGCCTCTGAGCTCCAGGCTGAAGGGGCAGCAAAGAAGTGGGCTGTGGCCATTGCAAGCCTTCTTCACACAGGGCTGGGTGCTGGGCCCTGGGGTCAGCTTCCAAGACAGTTGCTGTTTCAATCCATCATCCATCCACCCTCCTCAATGAGCAACCTCCCTAAGAGCTGGACTTGGGGATAGTGAGGCCGGGTCTCTGAGCTCTGCAGGCCCAGCTCCTCCCAGAGCTGGGGCAGTGAGGCTGTGGCTGAGGTTGGTCCAGCGAGTCCCTGAAACCTTTCTGAGCTTCAGTTCCGCATCTGTTGTAGAGGTTATTAAGGCTCCCACAGGGAAAGGTAAGAACGGCACTTGCGAAGCATATGGTACACATCGGAGGGTCTGTTTTAGAGAAGGGAGGTGACTTTTTAGACAGCCCTTTATCACTCCTGGAACCAGCGCCTGGGAAAGTGGGTTGGGAAGGCAGCAGGGTGGGTGCAGCTAGACCTCGGGGAGCTGGCTGGCTGGCTGGGGCCTGTGGGATGCGAGGGTCTTGGAAAGGGTAGGGAAGCAGTTGCCGTTCTTCCCCATTGCTCTCTGATGAGTCTAGACCGGAGGAGGGAGTCTGGCTCGGGTGGGGCTCTGCCCCCGGTCCCACCTCAGCGGTGACTCGGTGTATGTGCCTCTCTTTCTCCTGCAGCTGCTGCCGCTCACCCCGTGTCTTCTGGCCGCTTCCCTCTTTGCTGCCCCTCCCCGCAGGCTCCCCCTCTGCACCTCCTGGGGACCATCATGAATGGTGCCCCTTCCCTGGAGGATGGGGCCTTCCCCTCTCCTCCTCCCTTGCCACCACCCCCTCCCCCTAGTTGGCGGGAGTTCTGTGAGTCCCATGCCCGGGCCGCGGCCCTGGATTTTGCCCGCCGTTTTCGCCTGTACCTGGCCTCCCACCCCCAATATGCAGGGCCGGGGGCCGAGGCTGCCTTCTCCCGCCGTTTCGCTGAGCTCTTCCTGCAGCATTTTGAAGCTGAGGTGGCCCGGGCCTCTGGTTCCCTCTCACCGCCCATCCTGGCCCCTCTGAGTCCTGGTGTGGAGATCCCACCACATGACCTGTCCCTTGAGAGCTGCAGGGTGGGCGGGCCTCTGGCTGTGCTGGGCCCTTCTCGATCATCCGAGGACCTGGCCGGCCCCCTCCCTTCCTCGGTCTCTTCCTCTTCTACAACCTCCTCCTCGAAGCCGAAGCTAAAGAAACGCTTCTCCCTCCGTTCCGTGGGTCGCTCCGTCCGAGGTTCGGTCCGTGGCATCCTGCAGTGGCGGGGGACCGTGGACCCCCCCTCCCCAGCCGGGCCCCTGGAGACCTCATCAGGCCCCCCAGTGTTAGGTGGAAACAGCAACTCCAACTCCTCTGGTGGGGCTGGGACCGCTGGCAGGGGACTGGTTAGTGATGGAACATCCCCGGGGGACAGATGGACTCACCGTTTTGAGAGGCTGAGACTCAGTCGGGGAGGAGGGACCGTGAGGGATGGGGCCGGGATGGTGCAGAGGGAAGAGCTGCTGAGTTTCATGGGGGCTGAAGAGGCAGCCCCTGACCCAGCTGGAGTGGGCCGGGGAGGAGGGGCAGCTGGGCCTACCTCAGGGGGAGGAGGGCAGCCTCAGTGGCAGAAGTGTCGCTTACTGCTTCGAAGTGAAGGAGAAGGAGGAGGAGGAAGTCGCCTGGAGTTCTTTGTACCACCCAAGGTGAGACCCAGAGGAGGGGCGTGACTGGGAGTGAATGCTTGAACTGCCAAAGTGGTAATCGCCCACATGCATAGCTTGGCTTACTTTGGTTTTTTGTTTGTTTGTTTGTCTTATATTTTTATTGATTTCAGAGAGGGAGAGAGAGGTAGAAGCATCAATGATGAGAATCATTGATCAGCTGCCTCCTGTACGCCCCCTACTGGGGATTGAGCCCACAAACGAGGCATGTGCCCTGACCCGGATCCAACCGTGACCTCCTGGTTCACAGGTTGATGCTCAGCCACTGAGCCAGACTGGCCAGGCTTTGGTTTTTAAAGCTGGCTCCTGACTCTGAGCTAGGAGCTGTGGGCAGGACTGAAGGAGTAGTGTTACTCCTTTTTGTCTAGTTCCCTTAGGACGTAGAGGGAAAGATGGATCTGTGGAGGGAAGGGAAAGATGGTCTTTACCCACCAGAGGTCAGGATCTTGTTCTCTTCCAACCTAGGCGTCTCGGCCTCGGCTCAGCATTCCCTGCTCTACCATCACGGATGTGCGGGCGACCACAGCGCTGGAGATGCCTGATCGGGAGAACACGTTTGTGGTTAAGGTGGGAGCCGTGAGCTCCCCTGCCCCGTGGAGCACTCCTGTTGGGGAGAAGGCATTCAGTACATAACAGCAAGGGCATTGGTGGAGGAGGTGCATGCACGGCGGGTTCCTTGAGCGTAGGTCCCTGAAGCTACAGCTCTTCTGGGAGCAGGGGGGAGAGGCAGGATGTTTTTGTTCTCATTAGGGCTGCCTTAGGCCTTAGGAACTGGCAATGCCGATGGACCTCCTCTTGTCCCATAGGTGGAAGGCTCCTCAGAGTATATCCTGGAGACAGCTGATGCTCTACATGTGAAGGCCTGGGTGTCTGACATCCAAGAATGCCTGAGCCCGGGGTGAGGAAACCAGGGGCTGGGGTGGGAGCAGCCTGTCCTCTCACCTGGTGACATTCCTACCAGCACCATTTTCCCTGTCTCTGCAGGCCCTGCCCTGCTACCAGTCCCCACCCCATGACCCTCCCACTGGCCCCTGGGGCCTCATTTCTTACAAGAGAGAACACAGACGGCCTGGAACTGCCCTGCCTGAATCACTCAGAGAGTCTGCCCAGCCAGGATCTGCTGCTGGGACCCAGCGAGAGCAACGACCGCCTGTCACAGGGTAAGGCAGAGCCTTAGAGAGCTGGAACCTCAGACCTACCATGTAAGACCCCCTGCTTTGGGGCTCCAGGCCCTCTCCAGTGTAAACCCTTTCCTGCCTCTCAGCTACCCACGCCCACCCACCAAATGTTTGTCTTTTGTCCCAGAACATGCTAAGCCACAGTTTGCCATTTAGGACCATCAGCATCACCACCCCACACAAGCTCCAAGGAAACCCCTAGCCTGCCTTCTCTGCCCAGCCTGTCACCTTTCCCCTAAGCCTGTGCAGACCACCACTCTGGCTGCAGATACGGTTCTCGTCTCCAAGCTTCCAGAACACTTTGTTGTTGTTGTTTTTTTATATATTTTATTGATTTTTTTACAGAGAGGAAGGAAGAGGGATAGAGAGTTAGAAACATCGATGAGAGAGAAACACCGATCAGCTGCCTCCTGCACACTCCCCACTGGGGATGTGCCCGCAACCAAGGTACATGCCCTTGACCAGAATCGAACCTGGGACCTTTGAGTCCGCAGGCCGACGCTCTATCCACTGAGCCAAACCGGTTAGGGCGCTTCCAGAACACTTTGTACACATCTTTGTTTTGCTCTGACTCTGTGTCTGTGCATGTGTCAGCGATACCAGTTTTCTTTAATTGTACTTCTTAGCCTGACTAAGCACGTGCATACCCTAACCCACACACATAAACACAGAGACCTGTAAATCTGCCTGACCCCAGCTCACCTTTCTAGACTCTACCACACCCTTTCCTCATGACCCTCCATTCTGAGTTTCAGGGTCACAATGCCTAGCACAGCCGTGGGCAAACTACGGCCCACGGGCCGGATCCGGCCTGTTTGAAATGAATAAAACTAAAAAAAAAAAAAGACCGTACCTTTTTAGGTAATGATGTTTACTTTGAATTTATATTAGTTCACACAAACACTCCATCCATGCTTTTGTTCCGGCCCTCCGGTCTAGTTTAAGAACCCATTGTGGCCCTCGAGTCAAAAAGTTTGCCCACCCCTGGCCTAGCATATCACTACGGTGTCGGGTGAATTTCCCGCCAAAATATAAGATGGCGAGTTAAAATGCCTATATCTTTTGAAGTATGGGTTCGATTGAAATGAAATATTTGGTAATACGCAGTTACAATCGGCCCGAGTTTACACGTTTCCCGCACTCCACCGCAAATCTATATGAACCGAGTTTAAGACGGCTCCCGCGGAGTACGCGCAATTCACGCGAGCCGACTTAACTCGTTTCCCGCAACCCAAGTGATATAACTATAGGCTGTGTTCGATGAGTAAAACGAACGATAGGATTTTAAAGCTAGAACAGACCTTACAAGCCATCAGTTCTAATCCCCTCTGTTCTTAGGCAGCTAACACCAGGGAAGAGAAATGGCTTTCCCAACGTCACCTGAGAGTCGCTAACAAAGATGGGCTATGCCAGCTTGATGCCTGAGCCACTGCGCTCTACTCTGCACACATACTCATCTGAGCGGTGACTGTGTACAACATTCCCGCCTGCCACTCAGCAGATATTCGGGAATGCCCTCGTACCTACCTGGCTCTTTGCTAGGCTCGGGCAGGTGGGGGGTGCAGGCATGCCTGAAATTAGCTCCTTGCCCTCCATGGGCTCACAGTCTAGCTGAGCAGACAAGACATCTAAAAAGCAGGACTTTAAAATGGAGAGTTTGTGCTTAGTGTTCTCTGAGCAGCACAAGCAAGAAGAAAGTGCGTTGGAAGCTCAGAGGAGGAAGAGAATCAAGGCTAGAAGGAGGATTTTAAAAAAGATATATATTTTCATTGATTTGAGAGAGGAAGAGAGACAGAAACATCAATAATGAGAGGGAATCATTGATTGGCTGCCTCCTGCACGTTGGACCAAGCCCGCAACCCAGGTATGCGCCCTGACTGGAATAGAACCTGGGACCCTTTGGTCCGCAGGCCGATGCTCTATCCACTGAGTCAAATCGGCTAGGGCATAGAAGGAGGATCTTTGATGCCTCTGAGAGTTGGAGGCTTTGTCCTATTGACCAAAAAAAGGACCTTTTTTATTTTGCCAGGGCCTGGGCAGGACCCCATTTAAAGAAAAATGTTTTTATTGATTTTAGAGAGAGGAAGGGAGAAGGAGAGACAGATAGAAACATTATGATGAGAGAGACTCATTGATTGGCTGCCTCCTGCATGCCCCCTACCGGGCCTGGATCCTGCAACTGGACATGTGCCCTGATGGGAATCTATCCATGACCTCCTGGTTCATGGGTCGATGCTCAACCACTGAGCCACATGGGCTGGTCAAGTTGAGACCCCCTTTTTAAAACATTTTTGTTTTTTTGTTTTGTTAATCCTCACCTGAGGATATTTTTCCATTGATTTTAGAGAGAGTGGAAGGGAGGGGAAGAGACAGAGAAACATTGATGTGAGAGATATACATCAATTGGTAGCCTGCCACACACGCCCTGACCAGGGCCAGGGATTGAGCCTGCAATCTAGGTACATGCCCTTGACTGGAATTGAACCAAGACCCTTCAGTCTGCAAGCTGACACTCTGTCTACTGAACCAAACCAGCTGGGGCGAGGGACCCCTTTTTAATGCAAAAATATTTGTCTCCATTTCTGCTGTCAATTCAAAAGATAGAGGCTCCATGGCTAGTGTGTCTAAGTGGTTAGAGCATCAGCCCTCACACCAGAGGGTTAGGGTTTCGATTTCCAGTTAAGGACACATACCTGAATTGCAGGTTTGGTCCCCTGTCCTGGTCAGGACACATGTAGGAGGCAGCCAATTGATGTGTCTCTCACATGATGTTTCTTTCTCCCTTTCCTTCCTTCCCTTCCACTTTCTAAAAATCAGTGGATCCCTGGCCTGTTTGGGTCAGTGATTAGAGGGTTGGCCTGGGGACCAAAGGGTCTTGGGTTCGATTCCTGGTCCAGGGCATGTACCTTGGTTGCAGATTCCCCAGCCTTGGTGGGGGCACATGCTGGAGGCAACCAATCAATGTCTCATGTCGATGTTTCTCTCTCTCTCTCTTTTTCTCCCCCTCACCCCTCCTCCCTCCTTCTCATCTCCCTCCCTCCTTTCCACTCTCTCTAGAAATTAATGGAAAAAAATATCCTAGGGTGAGGATTAAAAAATAATAATAAAAATAAATGGAAAGATATCCTCGGGTGAGGATTAACAGCAACAACAAAAAAGGCAGAGGCACTTTTGGATTCTAGGACCTCCTTTCAGTAACTGTAACCCCTGAGCAGTGTATGAAATCTAAGTTAGCTATTGGTGGAAAATATCAGGGTCCCTGCCTGGAGAAGGATCCAACATTTCAGCCAGCTGACCCTGCCAGTCCACACAGGGCGGACTAGTGGGAGGTGGCCCAGGCAGACCACTCCTGTCCAAGAGTAGCTTCTCTAGCTCTAGCTGGTTTGGCTCAGTGGATAGAGTGTTGGCCTGTGTGCTGAAGGGTCCCAAGTTTGATTCCGGTCAAGGGCACATGCCCGGGTTGCTGGCTCGATCCCCAGTAGGGGGTGTGCAGGAGGCAGCAAATCAATGATTCTCATCACTGACTAGAGGCCCTGTGCACGAATTCGTGCACGGGTGGGGTCTGGCCCGCCTGCCCCTATTGGCCTGGTGGGGGGGAGGGGCCGGGCAGCCGGCCCCGCCCACTGGTCAAACTCTGGGTTGAAGGGACAATTTGCAATTAGCCTTTTATTATATAGGAGGTTTCTGTCTGTCTCTGTCTCTCCCTTCCTCTCGGAAATCAATAAAAAATATATATATATATTTTTAGAAAGTAGCTTTTCCAGTTCTCAACTTTGCCCTCCTGTTTTTTTCCAGGGGCATATGGGGGCCTTTCAGACCGCCCTTCAGCATCCATCTCCCCTAGTTCCGCCTCCATTGCTGCCTCCCATTTTGACTCAATGGAACTGCTTCCCCCAGAGTTGCCACCCCGCATCCCCATTGAAGAGGAACCCCCAGCTGGGACAGTTCATCCCCTCTCAACCCCCTACCCACCCCTGGACACTCCAGAAACAGCCACAGGTACCAGAGGTGTGAGTGTGTCTGTGTGCAGGCATGGTTGCCCACCTACCTGAAACTTGTCCTGGGATCCTGAGGGAGCTGACCTGGGGGGAGGGAAGTGACACAGGAAGGGGAAGCAAGGCTTTTCTCCCAGGATGGGGGAGGCTTCCTTGACACCCAGGTTTCCCTCCCTCTCTCCTTCCTGAAGGGTCATTCCTGTTCCAGGGGGAATCAGAGGGAGGTGAGGGGGAGCAGCCCCTCTCAGGGTATCCTTGGTTCCACGGGATGCTCTCTCGACTCAAGGCTGCCCAGTTAGTACTGGCCGGAGGCACCGACTCCCATGGTGTTTTCCTGGTACGTCAGAGTGAGACGAGGCGGGGCGAATACGTCCTCACTTTCAACTTCCAGGGCAAGGCCAAGGTGAGTGACAGGAAAAGGCCTGTTATCCGCAGGGAGCTGGCGGGTGGAGTGGGGACGCTGCCATCAGGGAGAAGTGCTCCGTAATTGGCAGGGGCTCGGGCTCCTGCTTCACCTCGCTCATCCTGCCCTCAGCACCTGCGTCTGTCGCTGAATGAGGAGGGTCAGTGCCGGGTCCAGCACCTGTGGTTCCAGTCCATTTTTGATATGCTCAAGCATTTCCGGGTGCACCCCATCCCGCTGGAGTCTGGAGGCCCCAGTGACGTTGTCCTTGGCAGCTATGTTGTGTCCTCCCAGCGGCAGCAGGGTGAGCAGAGCAGGTCTGCAGGGGAGGAGGTGCCCGTGCACCCAAGAAGTGAGGAGGTGTGTGCGCCAGAAAGGTGGGGTGGGGGCCTGTGAAGAGGAGAGGCTTTGTTGGGGAGAACAGGGAGAGAAGGGGCCTGTGTGTTGGGGTTTCAAAGGGAAAAATGTATGCCGAGGAGGTAGGAAGGCGCAGGGCTCCTGCTGGAGCCGGGAGGAAGTTGAGTGTGGGTTGGTGCATTCCCATTCCATCAGACTCCTCTGTTCCATCATTTGTCTGTCTCCTGGATACACCGCCCCTTGTCTTTGCCCTTCCTCATCACCTTGCCTTGGGCCTGCCCTTTTGGGGAATGCTCTGTTTGATCCCCCTCCCTCTTCCCTTAATGTTTGATGTCCCTGTCTGATCTCTCCCTTTTCCCCACCCCCACGTCCCATCTGTCCCCACGTTGCCCCTCCCCCCCAGGCCGAGAGCAGGCCGGGAGCCATGCAGGGGTGTGCGAGGGAGATCGATGCTACCCCGATGCCTCCTCCACCCTCATGCCCTTCGGAGCGAGTGACTGTGTGTAAGTGTGGTCCTCCTCTCACCTCCGCCCATGATCCATCTTCCATGGATGGGGGGTTGCTCAGAAGATGGGATGTGGGAGATAGCACATGGCTCCTGGGGGGGATAGTGAAGGGGAGGCTGCTGCAAGAGCTTGCCACCCTCCACAATTAGTCTGTCTTCTTACCATTCCTATCCAGAACCGAACACCTCCCACGACCCACCCCCACCCCCTGAACCCCCTTCATGGACAGATCCCCCACATCCTGGGGCAGAAGAGGCGTCGGGGATGTCAGAAGTGGCAGCAGCAACAGCCACAGCAGCCAAAGAGAGGCAAGAGAAAGAGAAAGTGGGCAGTGGAGGGGTCCAGGAAGAGCTGGTCCCCGTGGTTGAGCTGGTCCCCATGGTTGAATTGGAAGAGGCCGTGACACCAGGCGTGGAGCTCCAGGGAGGCCCTGGATCTGGTGGGGTCCCTGAAGCAACACCGATGGTGCAGCTCCAGCAGTTACCACTAGGGGGCGATGGAGAAGAAGGGGGCCACCCCAGAGCCATTAATAACCAGTACTCCTTTGTGTGACACCCTACCCCCACCCTTTCTCCACTTTCTTGCTCCTCAGCCCTCAGTTCCTGAGACGGGGGCTGAGCAGGGACATAGAGGAGCGGTAGGAATCCCCTCCCCATATGCTTCCTTACCCTTGATGGCCAAGGGCATATATGTTGGTACAAGAAGAGGTTCAAGAGTCCCGTTAACTCCCCAGTTCATACACTACAGGTGCCCCGTCCCCTGGGGAGGGGACTTGGGCTCCATTACCTCTCCAAGGGGCTCTATGGTCAGCCCCGCCCCTGGGGGCCATTTCCCCATTATCTACCCCCCAGCCCAAGGAGGGGTGAGGGGGAAGGGCTGTCAGTTAATATTAAGGTGGTTGTTGTTGTTGTTTTAAACAAAATGGAGAAGCATAAATAAATAAAAGGGTTTATCTCAGTTCATCGTGGTGACTGTGGCCAGTGTTTGCCGTGAGGGCTGGGACGGGGTCAGGAAGGTAGCCCACTTGAGTTGTGAGCCCCAGAGCTGAGCGGCCAGAGGGCCGGTCCGATGAAGTCCCTTTGCTCCCTAGTCCTGCACTTTCTGTCCTTTGCTTCTTGGGACTGCCCTGTGTGTTGAGCGGTAAGTGCAGAGCCAAACAGTGCTTCTCGGGGTCTCCAGGCACGTTCTCTTAATGAGACAGGACCGTGAGCAGCAGGATCAACAATCTCCAAGGACCCTTCCTGCTCTGAATTCTTCAGTAAGGCTCTCTCCTCAGGGAGAAAGCTGGCAGAGAGGCCATGGGGCTGGGCTGGGCTGGGCGTGGGGCTGTGTTGGGAGAGACTTCACACAGTCTGGCTGCAGAGGGGCCCAAGGTCAGGCTGACGCTCCCCCTTCTCGGAGCCAAGCGGGGGGTGGAGGACAGATGGCAAAGGGCATTGGCGTTGCCTCTCGCTTGCTGTGTGGCCTTGGCAGTGTGTGGCCCTCCCGGCCTAAAACAGGAGGTTGCGTCTAGGTGGGAGCTACTGACATTGCTTGACCTGGATAATGTTTCCGATAATGTTTCCATTGAAATTTCACATAAAAGTTCAGATTATTGGAAATCAGATGATGCAGCCTCGTGCAGTTGGTCCACCTTCCGCATCTCATCCCCGCAGACCACTCACATGATGTGCCTGCCCTGTGGGTATTGAGTCTGCAACAGCTCCCGCCCTCCTTCGTCCCTCCACTCCCAGCCAAGTCCTTCTCCAGCCCAGGCTCTGCTCTCTGGGCTGCGCTGTGCCCTCCAGTGGAAGGCACCCCTGGGCTTCCCAGCTCTGCGGGTGGTGGGTGCCAACAAGGAAGGGCCAGATTCTGAAGACTCACCTATTTGTTGTTGTTAATCCTCATCCCACATTGATTTTTAGAGAGTGGAAGGGAGGGGGAGAGAGCAACATTGATGTGAGAGAGGCATTGACTGGTTGCCTTTCCCACATGCCCCAGCTGGGGCTGGTAATTGAACCTGCATCCCAAGTACATGCCCTTGATGGGGAATCGAACCCAAGACCTTTCTGTGAGAGGGCCAACACTCTAACCACTGAGCTCACCAGCCATGGCAGATTCTCACCTATTTTGCTTGGCCCTCTCCCCTCCCCGCCTCCATCCAGCACTGCCTCTCATCATTCTGCCTCTCCCTTTTCCTTTCACGCCCCTCAGCCTCTGCCCCCACCTCCTGGCCCTTTCCATGCTTATGACCTTGCTATTCTGGGCCTGTGTCCTGTCGGGAGATGGACAGGAGACAGCTGGGCGCACAGGCCACCCGGCTTTGGGCTAGCCGAGGGAAGCCTGCTGGCTCTCCCCGTTCTATCTAATCCCTGGGACTCCCCCAAACCTTGGCCTTAGGAGACTGGGGATAGACTTGGCCTTGTATAGGTGAGGATGGTTTGGGGATCTAGGTGCTATGTATTCTAAAAGTGAGATGGTGAGGAAAGACGATGGCACCGAGTGCCGGCAGTGTAGGGCCTGATCCCCTCCTAATCTAGCAGCAGCTGGTGCTGCGAGGCTCCCCCTCCCTCTAAACTCTGGCAGCCTCTGGGACTTGTCTTCTGAAGGTGGTGAGGAGGGGTACACGGACCCCTCCTATTCTCCAAGGTTTGCATGTCCTGGCTGGAGGAACCTGAGACGATTTCCTGTAAGCCTTTCTGGATGGTTCAACTCGAGTTCAGAACTGGTCAGGGATTGGCCAGGCTCTATCCCCACATCCTTCAGAATTAGACCTCTCCCATTCTGAGCATCCGACATCGGAAGGGAGAACCAGCTCGGCTTGGAGACCCCCAGTGGGAGGAATCCAAGAGAGCGAGCGCCTCATTGCTCAGCCTTCCTCCATCCCTGTTCACACCCTGATGATGATCCTTTGCGGCTCTTGGCTGGTGGCTTTCCCTCTCTGGCTTCAGTCCCCCCCTCTGGGAAGTGGAGGGAGCTAGAAATGACTAACCTTAAAGGGCCCTGTTGGCAGCAGCATCCTGTAAAGCCTGCCTCCTTTCCTCAGCTCTCAACTCCCTTGAAGCTGTGATCGGTCCAGTCTTCTCCCCCTTCTCCATGTTTGGGCATTCCTGCTCCTTTAAGACAGTGCTCCTGTCACTCCTCCAGGTAGTGGGGGGGAGTAGCCAGCCAGTGCCAAAGGCTTGGCAGATGCTGGGCCTGGCTGGCCTGAGAAGGTGGGTGGTGGTGGGCCAGGTGGAGGTGCCTGTTGGTGAACACTCACAGCCCATTGTTTGAGCCCCGGTCCCCTGGTCACAGCAGGGTTCTGCCTTGAGGGAGAGTTTGTTGGGACCATGAAAGGGGGGCGGGGTGAGAGAGCACCATGTCCTTAACTCACCTTGGAGAGGGGGAGGAAGGGATGAGTGTGGGGGACCTAACCCACTCCTGCTGGCCTACCCACTCCCCGAAAGTGGGGCTGCCTCCTATGTCATTGTGACCCCCACCCCATTGTCAGGGACTGAGCACCAGACGGGGAAGCAGCCAGAACCCAGCAGTAGTCTGTAGTCCTCACTGTTTCAGGAAACTGAGGCCTAAAGCAAGGAAGGACTGGAGGTCAGGGTCATGAGGCTGCTTCCCCTCCCTGACCTTGCACCGTTAAGCCTCTCTCCGCCCTTTCCCCACTCACACCCATGCTGCCCTCCTGCTCCTCCAGAGCCGGGGTGGGGGTCGGGGGCTCAGAGCAGCTGCTTCTCTGAGGAAGCTGACGCCAAGGCCAGCCGCTCAGCAACAACTTGTGGCTTTGCACCCAGCCCTGGGCCCCCACCCACCTGGCTGCCACATGCCAGCCCCTGCTGTCCCTTTCCCCCTGCTCCTCAGACTTCCCTCTGACCCTGGCAGCTCTGTCTCTGCCACCGCAGCTCTGTTCTGTCCTTATTTCCCCTAGACCTGTCCCCATCCATCTGCCCTCCCCACGCCTTTGGTCTGGAGCCTCTGCTTTATTTATCCAGCTTCCCCAGGCCCCTGTCCTGCTGCCTTGATGCGCTTCTCTCAGGCCTCTTCCAATGGGGTGGCCCCGAGCCTGAGCACAGAGCTGCCCTCCCTCCCTGTGAGGACAGATACTTCAGGGCCAGGTGGAGTGCAGACCACAGCTATCTGGGGTCTGCCAGGTAAACCCCTCAGGTTAAAGAGAGCATTGTGGGATAAGGTAACCCTTATTCCATGACTTGGGGTCCCCCTCTGCCCATCAGCATATCCCCCTCTGCCATCAGCACCTTGCTGCCTGGGTATCCCATTTGGGGGGGGTTTTCCTTTTAGGGATGGGGGGGGGGGGGGGCTAGAGGCAATGTTCCCAGAGGCTTGGTTAGAGCGATGGGGGTGGGGGGGAGTTTAGGGGAGAGACAGGCAGTCCTGGCTTTGCTCACCAGGCCCTGGACACTAAATCCCTTGTTGATGGCTGCAGCAACCCCTCCCTGGGGTAGGGTTACCATCTTCTGCTCTGTCCCCTTGACCCTCTCCCCTCCCTGCTTCCCTTGTTCCCCCAGAGCCACTTCCTCTGGCCCCCCAAAGGATGTCTCCCCTTCAGTCCGCTAAGGTCTGAGTGTCTCTGCTGGCCTTTAAGCAAATGAGGTGAGGAAGGAGACTGGCAGGAGACACAGGGTCAGGGTGGATGAGGCGGGAAGCGGTGAGGAAAGGGGAAGGTGAAGGACAGAGAAGTGGGCCTCAGGGAAGACCTGGAGGGATGAGTTTGGAATAGGAAATTCAGTGCCACTGAGGACGTTGAGGCAGCGGGGGGAGGGGTCAGCAGCAGAAGACCGAAGTGAAGTCCCTCCCTACCCCCTCTCCTGTGGCTGGGCCACCTCAGCTTCCCTCTGAGTGACACCTCGGGCTGCAGCCCCACTGTTCCCCCTCTGTCAGCAGAAATATCTCTCTTCTGACCCCTCCTGCTGGAGCCTCTGCCAGCCAATCCCTGATCTGGGGGAGGGGGGAGCCTGCCCCCCCCTACTCCCTCATAAGGACCAGCTGGGGGCTGGGGGGGTGGCCAGCTGCTGCAAGTGGGACGGGGGTCAGAGCTTCCTGGAGGGAAGAAAAATCTGGGGGGGGCAGGAGACAAAAAGGAAGAAACCCAGACAAACAGGCAGGTGAACACACTGAGGAAGGCCCCCCACACGTGGAACGCCCCCAGAAGGAACACCGCCCCCTGGCCCCCAGGAAGGGAGCACAATGGAGGCTGCACACTCCAAGAGCACAGAAGAATGTCTGGCCTATTTTGGGGTGAGCGAGACCACAGGCCTCACCCCGGACCAAGTTAAGCGGCACATAGAGAAATACGGCCCCAATGGTAAGTGTCCTTTGGAGCGGCTGGCAATGGCCTCTCACAGCCCGGCAGCACCCACTCACACACGCACACGCACGCGCACACACACACACTCACACTCGCGTGGGAGCCTCTCCCTCCAGGGGACTTAGGGAAGAGCTGGGCCCTGGTCCAGTGACTAGGTGGGGAGAGGATACTGGCAGACAGGGGCCCTGAGACCCGGAGTTTGGGAGGTTTTATGGGTGACCTTGGTGAACCTCAGATGCCCTGTTGATGGCCTGAGTCTCCTACCTTAGTCACAAGTCCCAGGGTGTGGGGGCATTAGACTGAACCCCAAATGAATATGTCTTTTTTTCTTTTCCCTGGGTAGAGCTCCCTGCCGAGGAAGGTAAGTTACTGGACTCCCTCTCCCCTCTGGGTCCCACTCCCTTCCCCTGCCCTCTCCCTACTCACTCCTGGGGCAAATACCCCTCCCCAAGGGTGGGAGCTTGGCTGGGGGCAGAAGTTTCCAGGCACTTTCTCCTTGAGGCATCCAGCCCTTGAACAGCTGCCCACCGCTTGGAGGAAGGAGCCTGCTTTTGGAGCCCTGGCAAGCTCCCTCCGCCCTTCTCTAAGAGCCAAGTGGCCTGCCCATCACCCCAGAACCTCACAGCTCCAGGCTGGAAGGGTGCTCCCAGTCCCTGGACCC